AAAAAAAACCCGCTCTGGTTTCTTTCCACCCGCCGGGAGCCACGGGGAGGGGCACTCGGGTCCTGCCGGGCCGGGGCTTGTATCTTACCCCCTTCGCAAGGCGCTGGGTTATTGCAGGTGTGGATGTGGTCTGGATGTTGTCCTGTGTCCTGTGGTCTCTATTTTAGGAAGATTTTTCTTTGTTATATTTTCATAGCTCTATGTGTTTTTGGGAGGAGATTTCCACTGCTCTACTCATGCCGCCATCCTGGCTCCGCCTCCCAACTTTCACATTTTAACTTAAGTTATGATATTGAAAGTTGTGTTTTCTAAACATATACTCATTCACATGCTCATAAATTAATATTTTCCTTGAATTTTCATGGTTTAAAAATATTTAGATAGTATTTAAGATAACCTGTTACTTCTATAAGATGTGAATTACTCTAAGTTAATTAAGATGTCTTCTAATAAATTGTTCAAAGTACCTTTTATACGTACTGTTTTCTTTTTTTCTTTGCTCCTACATAAAAAAATGTTATTTGTATTTTAAAAACTGAGTAGCTTTTATATAATTTCTTTACTATATTTGATATTTATATAAGAATGTTTTAAGATCATAATACATTTTTGATGGAATAATTTTTTCCACAGATATGAATTAATTTCAACAAACTCTATTGACAGAAAAGAAAAAGTGTTGAGGTATCATCTGAAAAGAATGTGAATTGGTTCAAGAAGGCAGTCTCCAAGACAGAAAATGAAGGGGTGAAATAGAGTTCAACAGGATTATTTCTCCCCATCCTAAGAGTCAATTGGCTATAACTAGAGAGGGAGCTAAAAAAGTAATCAGAATGCTTAGATTTAACTCATTTCATTAACCAAAAACAAAAAAGCGAATTCTGGCTGGAGGCTTTTATAAAAATGTGACTATTCTCAAACAATATATTCCACATATGTTCTGGGAAGTGTGGTGGTACAGTAGTTCTCAAACTTCAGGGTATTGGAATTACCTATTGTGCATGTGAAAATGCTGATTCTTGGGCATGATATCAGACCCTACAAAAACAGATGTTTTGGGAGTGGATTTGGGACTATGCATTGTAGCACAGTCTGCAAGTGGTTCTGACTCAGGTTTTCCTTAGACCAGTAGATAAACGATGGTCTAGTATACAGGGTGTCCGAGATGGAGTGGATGAAGATGAGGCTGAAGAGATAATACAATTGTCTCTTGTGCTTTGGTGGAAAAGTATTAGTACTCTGGGCTGATCTGCATTGTCCTGTCCCCCCAAAAGTCTTGATTAGGATACTTAGGATATACATATGTATAGGGTATGCATACAAACATATGTAGGATAACACTTAGCACCTTTTTCACAATCAACTTTACTTCTTTGTCACTTTCACCTTTTACTAATATAAATGCCAGAAATGGCTTTTATATTAGACTTACCTTGCCTGGATTTAGGACCAATTCAGTTTATGACTCCTGTAAAAATGGTATTAGAACATTGCTTCTCAAACTTTAATGTGCCTATGTATTACCTGAGGAGTTTGTTTAAATGCATATTCTGACTCAGTAAATCTGAGGTAGGGTTTGAGATTCTGCATTTCTAACAGGCTTATGGGTAATGATGATATTGCTAGTCTGGGAACCACAGAGTAAGTCCCTCGACTGATTAAAATTCTACCCCAAGTAAGGGAATGACAAATGGGCATGCTTATATATTCTACATATAAATAAATAGAATTTTTCTGGAGGACAATCTAACACATCCACTTCTAGAAATTTATTATGCCAAGTAAATAATTTTGTAAGTATTCAGTTACCAGAATGTTCGATACAACATTTTTAGCATTTTTAAAACATGGAATTTAAAACTCTGAAAGTAAGGAAATAGTTAGATATATTATGATACATAGATATAATACAATGGATATTCTTTCAACTATTAAAAATGATATATTTTACATTTATAGTATCAGAAGTAAGTAAGGACTCAGAAATGATGGAGACATGTCAAAAAGACAGGAACAATCTTGAAGGGGTGTCCATTGGTTACATTTGGGAAAATTTGATCATCAAAATAATGATAGTAATGGATTATAATCTGCTGAATAAAATAGAAATCCATGAGTCCATACTGATAACAAATAAATGAAATGAAGAAGGGAGAGCCTGTTTTTTACAGGAAAAGCCAAATGACAAATGTGAGTAGTAGAATTGAAATGGGAGTGGTAGAACAGGAAAATTATCACTTTGCTACATCTTGTAAAGAATGGCTCAGGCAAGAATAATAAATTATATAGCTAGCAGGTAGAGTTTGATGAAGACAAGGATATTTAAATGATTTCAGTGTCACCATATACATTATTTATTAATCAATTGTATTTATATTTACTAATGACAAACAATTGGGAAATAAAATTTACAAACCAATATTTATCATAGCATAAAAATGCCTATGAATAAATCTAACAAATGTAAAAGACTTCTATATTGAAAGCTATGGACTAATATTAAAGCAGACTTCAACACATGAAATTAATAAATTTAAATTAAAGAAAACATCAATAAAGGTAGAGTTCATGGATTGGAATAATCAATATTGTTAAGATGTCCATTCTCCCTAAATTGATATACAGATGTCTGTCCTTTTTTATTTATAGATTCAAGTAAGCCTCTTTGAAGAACTAAACAAGCTGCTTTCCAAGTTAAGTGGAAAAGACACAGCACCTAGAATAGCCAAAACAGTCTTGAACAAAGAATGATATAGTTGGAGGACTTACAATACTTGATTCTATGATTTAACTATAAAGCTACAGTAATCAAGACAGTATATATATATATTTAAGGACATAGTTCACTAAAAAGAATACAGAGTTCATACCTCAAAATAGTGAAGGCCACATATGACAAACCCACAGCTAACATCAAACTCAATGTTGAAAAGCTGAAAGCTTTTCCTTTAAGATTATAACAAGACAAGGATGCCTACTCTCACCATTTTTATTCAGCATAGTACTGCAAGTTCTAGCCATAGCAAGTCAGACAAGTTTATCTAAAAACTCCACCAAAAAACTATTAGAATAACTAGATTCAACAAAGTTGAAGGATACAAAATTAATACACAGAAATCTGTTGCATTCCTATATACTAACAATGAGCTAGGAGAAAGAGAAATTAGGAAAATAATTTTATTTACAATTGCATCAAAAAGAATAAAATGCCTAAGCATAAACCTAACCAAGGAGATGACAGATCTATACTCTGAAAACTATGAAATACTCATTAGAGAAATTAAAGAAGACACAAATAAGTGGAAATCTATCCTATGCTCATAGATAGGAAGAATTAATATTGCCAAAATGGCTATCCTGCCCAAAGCAATTTACAGATTCAATGCAATCCCTATTAAAATTCCAACAGCACTTTTCAATCAACTAGAACAAATAGTTCTAAAGTTCATACAGAACCAGAAAAGACCCCAAATAGCTGAAGTAATCCTGGAAAGAAGAACAAATCTGCGGGGATTATGCTCCCTGACTCCCTGACTCCCTAACTCCCTGACTTCAAACTCTACTACAAAGCCACAGTAATCAAGACAATTTGGTATAGCACAAGAATAGACTCATAGATCAAGGAACAGAATAGAGAACCCAGATAAAAACCCATGCATATATGGTCAATTAATATATAATAAAGAAGCCATGAATATACAATGGCGTACACAGGCTCTTCAATAATTGGTGTTGGGAAAACTGGACAGCTGCATGTAAGAGAATGAAACTGACTTACTAACTCCATTCACAAAAGTAAACTCAGAATGGATTAAAGACCTCATATAAGACATGAAACCGCAAAACTCTTAGAAAACATAGGCAAAACTCTCTTGAACATAAGCATGAGCAATTTTTTTTTCTGGACACATTTTCCTGGGCAAGGGAAACAAGAAATGAACAAATGGGACTATATCAAACTAAAAGTCTTCTGTACAGCAAAGAACACTATTAACAGAACAAAAAGGCAACCTATAGTATGGGAGAATATATTCATAAATGATTTATCTGATAAGGGGTTAACATCCAAAATATATAAAGAACTCCATATGTCTCAACACTAAAAAATAAATAACCCAATTAAATGGGCGGACCATCTGAACAGATAGTTTTCCAAACAAATACAGATGGCTAAAAGGCACATGAAAAGATGATCCACATTGCTAATCATCAGGGAAATGCAAATCAAAAACACAATGAGATATCACCTCATACCAGTCAGAATGGCCACTATCTAAAAGATAAGAAATAACAAGTGTTGATGAGGATGTGGAGAAAAGGGAACCCTCCTGCACTGTTGGTGAGAATGTAAATTGGTGCAGCCACTATGGAAAGCACCATGTAGGTTCCTCAAAAGCTAAAAATAGAAATACCATATGATCCTGCACTTCTAGGAATTTACCTGAAGAAAACAAAGTCTCCAATTTGAAAAGATATATGCACCTCTATGTTTACTGCTGCATTATTTACAATAGCCAAGATATAGAAGCAAAAGCAACCAAAGTGCCCATCAACAGATGAATGGATAAAGAAGATGTGGTACATATATACAATGGAATAATATTAAGGCATAGAAAAGAAAGAAATCCTGTCATTTGTGGCAACTTGGATGGAATAAGAGGGTATTATGCTGAGTGAAATAAGCCAGCTAGATAAAGACAAATAGCATTTAATTATGCTTATTTGTGGACTCTAAAAACAGAACAGCAGTAGACGCAGAGACACTGAGAAGTGACTGGTTACCATGGGGAGGGGTTGCAGTGGGTGGGCTGGATAAGAAGGATAAAGGGGCACAAAAATCTCAAACATAATATAGTTTGGTCACAGGGATGGAAGTGCAGCATGGAGAATATAATCAGTGGTTCTGTAACATCTCTCTATGTTGTCAGATAATAACTGCACTGGTTGGGGTAAGTATTTAATAACATGTACGTGCTGACCTATTGTGTTGTGTACTTGAAACCAATATAATATTGTGTATCAACTATACACATAAAAATACATATAAAAAAAAGAATACATACAAAAAATACACATAAAAAAAGAATACAGAATTCAACAAATAAACCAACACATACAGAGTAGACTGATTTTCATTCAAAGTGACAAATTAGTTCAATGGGGAAAGAAAAGTCTTTCTACAAAATTTCCTGGAATAACTGGGAATGATCATGGAAAAAGATAAACCTTGACCTCTACCTCATAGACCTAAACATAAAACCCAACACTATAGAGCAAAGAAAACAGAGAATATCTTTACAACCTTAGAATGATAAATATTTGTTAGAATACAAATTTAGAAGAAAACATTCATAGAATACACTTCATCAACAGTAAAACTTCTTGCTGATCAAACGATACCATTGTAAAAATGGACAGACAAGCCACAGTCTGGGAAAAAACATTCACAGCATATATATCTCACCATTAAGACAGGTATCCAAATTGTATTAAGAATTT